TGTGTTTAACTTAAATTGGAACAAAAATCATAGGCCATCACAAAGTCCTTTTTTCAGTTTTAAATAGAGTGGGGTAGGGTAAGGACCCCTGTCTCCAAAATGGACATTTTTGCTGTCTGTGTCCTTGATGCGTACCTCACTTCCTCTAAAGTTGATAGGTGTTATACAGAACATTAAGTAAGAAAGAAGTAATAAGAAATCTCAATATGAACAAAGACAGTGAAAAAAATGTCTCAAGTTCTAACCTTTCCCCATTCTACCCAAAAGTAAAAGAAAAAAAGTTACACCTAAAATTGCAATGCTTGATAGGTGACCATAGGCCAATAAGCGAAAAGACTCCAACAAGCACTTTTTTGTTGTTTAGGGGCTTGAAAGTGGTAGTAGTAGCTCAAAGTCTGGGAATAGCTACCAGAGTAATAGGCAGCAAGGGAAGTTAACAGCCCCATTAGCAATTAAAAGTAGTCCTTTCCAAAGAAATGTGGAGGCTGCCATTGCTGGACTCTTTCTCAAAGTGTGGGTTGTCTGGCTGTTATGTTGAGCCACTAGCTTTAATACTTTTTGGGGTTGGGTAAGGACCCCTGTCTCCAAAATGGAAATTTTTGCTGTCTGTGTCATTGATGGGTAGAGTTCCCCTCACTTCCTATAAAGCTGATAGGTGTCAAACAGAACAGGAAGTAAGGAGAAATCTCAATGTGAACAAAGACAGAAAAAAATTTCTCAAGTTCTAACCTTTCACCCATTCTACCCAAAAGTTTAAAAAAAAAAGTTACACTTAAAATTGCAAGGCTTTATAGGTGACCTTAGACCAAGAAAGAAAAAGACTCCAACATGCATTTTTTGTTTTTTAGGGGCTTGGAAGTGGTAGCAGTAGCTGAAGGTCTGGGAATAGCTGCCAGAGTAATAGGCAACAAGGGGAAGTTAACAGCCCCATTGGCAATTAAAAGTAGTCCTTTCCAAAGAAATGTGGAGGCTGCCAGTGCTGGACTCTTTCTCAAAGTGTGGGTTGCCTGGCTGTTATGTTGAGCCACTAGCTTCAATACTTTTTGAGTTACTGACCCAGAAGAAGTATGCATATCAGAAAGGTTGGAGCAAAGATAGAAGCTCTGTAATGGTCCCAGTCACTAGGATTATACATGATGAAATATTTGTATTTATTATTTTACTGACAGCAGACACTAGTGACATATTTCATCGAGTATCATAGGTCATCACTATTCATTTACTGACATTAGGAATTGGCATCATTATTTTCTACATCATTTTCAACACATTGGTTCAAATAAATGTCGAGTGCATTATCTGTAGTATCATTATAGCTGCTTACATTTAAATAAAATGTACCTAAGTTTATGCCCATGGCTGCTATTGCAGTCGCCTGTAACTGCCAACATTATTTTAGGTCCTTTCCACTAACGTACCATCATGTTGTCCACTGAAAGTGATGGGAAGCCTAACTGACCACCCTTTTTGAATCGTATGTGAAAATGTGTGAATCTTAGGTGAGCATTGACTGAATCTTGGGTAAAAACATTAATAAATAGATCCAATATTGCCTAAGTAATAAATATTGAATGCCTACATACATGTAAGAGATAAAACATGACCTTATGGAGGATATTAAGATCTGAAATCCCCAAATTCCTCAAAAATATAAATATATGCATTTAATTATATAGAGAGGATCTCCAAATGTTTATAGAGAATCCACTGATACCCAAAGGCCACTTTCACACTGACGGATCAGAAGGGAATCCGCTGTGACATCCTTGCCCGTTCAGTTTTTTTCCTCCATTGCAAGATGACCAGACCCCATGTTAGTCTATGGGGAGTCGGATGTAAACTGACTTGTGTCCGTTTGCATCAGATTACCCCCAATCCGGCACGATCAGGTCACGATCAGGACTTGATCAGACCGCCTGTCTGAAAGGGGACAATTTAAAGTGAAGTGATCAAAAAGATTCTCTGTAATATGAAGTTGGTGTTTAAAGAAGAAAAGGCAATTCCAATATTCGTGAAGAGGTGTCTCTAGCTGGCAGCACACCTCCATCACACACAAAAAGGAAGGATTATTGTGCAGCTGGTTGTGACATTACTTAGCAACCCAGCATTGTTCTTGCCAACGTATTTTTGAAGTCCTTGGCTTCCTTCATCAGGACACCAAGAAAACATGTTGGAAAGGGCTATGGCAGATTGGTATCCAATCTTTATTCTTTCCAAACCACATTTTTACATCAATGGGGAAGTTATGAATGCATAAATATCAGGAAACTAGCACTTATTACTGTTTAGGCTATTAATAGACTGAATGGCAAACAGCATTGTCCTTCTACTGACAACTACATGATATCTATGATTCAGTGGTATTTTCTGCTTCCTACATTTGCCACAATTTCCACACAGCCTTCCTGGACTCACTCAAAATGCCTATAGTCTTGGCCATCAGACCTTGAAAGAAAGAAAAATACATAGAAACATACCTATGCAGGACATCAAGCATCATTATTACTATTACTACCTGTTACCAACATATTTCTCAGCACAATCAGACTCATTATGCATGGTTAGGACCTCTTCCTTAGCTCATTTTTGCACTCCTACTGCAGCAACATAAAAAGGTGAGCAGTAGCGACCCTTACCCCCAAGTGATTGCACAGAGGCAATTTGGGTTTAAAAAAGGAGTGAAGGTGAGCCTGTAAAGCTGGGGGATGCAGAAATTAAGGAAAATCTATCACTTTGCCCTTCCAGATCAAAGGACAGAGTATCTTTAAAGTCCACCTCCAACCAACTTATACTCCTACTTATACTCCAACTGCCCCCCCCCCTTCCATTGCTCTGCAATTTTAACCTTGTGTAAACTGTGTGTCAGATGGTGTCGGAGCTTACACAGGGTTGACAAATCATCCTCCTTGTCAGGTGACAGTGTTTGTATCTGGCAACTGGCCACTCAGGCCCTATAACTGCATCCTGGGAGAAGGTTACATGTTCCCTAATACTCGCAAACGCCAGGTATTTGCAATGGCTGCTACAGAAGAATGGTGCAGCGTAGGAGTGAGGCAGAAGATCAGTGGGTGAGCTAGTAAAAGACTCTCACCTTGCCCTAAATGGGCAAAGTGACAGATTCTCTTTAAGTAATAACCATCACTTTGCTCTGCATGGGGTCATTGTAAAGTGGTCCTAAACTCTAAAAATGAAACTAACATACTCAGTAGACATTAGAACGAGAGACTGAGAGCAATTAAGTGAAAATAAAGCTATCTATGACCTGTAATAAGCATTTCCCATGATACTCTGGTTCCAGGTAACATGATCTGAAGGCTTATTAGCTGCGTGCTAGGTTGCTGCCATCATAGTGGATGAAGACTGTTGACATTGGCAAACACATAGCAGCATTTATTTGGGTCACCTAACATGCTGGCTTCCAGTGATGTGACCCAAAATGGAAGCATTGTGGGACTTGATTCTCCCATCTTATAGATATATGTTTACACTCTCTTTATTGACCTCTTTTTTGACCTCACCATCCTTCCCTAAGGCCTGTTTGGTGGAGTAAAGTGGACCTGTTTTCACAATTTAGGTTCCGCTTTAATAAACAGCAAAAAAAACCATGTTCACCAATGTTCAGGTCGGTTTAGAAATGCACGCATGAGATGAGATGACATTTATTAAATAATAATAATAATATTAACATGTAATAGTATGCAGATGTTGTAATAGATACTTGTTAGGCCAACAAACTCCCGTCCACAATTGTGTTTGTCTTTGATCACAGAAACAGTTACAGAAAGAAATTCTTCAAACAAAGCAGCGCTAGGAATGATTGCTTTCTGAGCCCACATATAAATAACCATTGTTGCATACTTAAGCGAAGATCAATTTTAAGATTAACAAATGCAGGTGTCCAGGCATTTTCCTAAACCTTTTTAACCGAACAGTGATTGTGATCTGAGATATCGAGTTCTCTGGGTAAATATAATAAGCAGAAAAGGTTTCACAATGAAAAAAAATAAATAATTGAAAATTATGAGGAAAGCATGCAGCACCATATGCAGATTAACAGAAACATATGTGTTCTCTTCTCCTTCATATATATTTTGGTCTTGCGTGCCTTTATAGTAAATCAGATTAAGATGTGGGAAGTATGACAACTTCATTAGAACACGGTGATGTTCTTGTAGCAAACTACGTTTTCTGAAAGTCTAAGATTGTACAGGAGACTTTTTGAAAGTGTACCTGTTACCCATATGTAATCTGTTTTTATTGTAGTTTTTACTTCTCAAAGGAGTTGTAAAGTCCCATCATACCCTCTCCTGTTATAACATCAGCATTGTAATAGGAATACATACTAGAGATGTTTTTGATAATGCAATCACAGCTTACTTAAGAAAAACCCTTTAATGTAGTGAGAGCTGCCTATTACTTTCATCAACTTCCTGGATTCCCAGTGTGCTTTACATCTCTTTCTTGATGTGAAGCAATCTTGATTTCTCAAGACTACACATTCTATCATGCATTGCTTCCAGCAAGCAATGATGATACATTATGGGAAATTCAGGCATTGAGTTGTAGTTCGGACAGCAGGCTTAGTTAGAGTGGTGACACTAGGAAGTACATATTCACAGGGTTAGGTGAAATTGTGTCACTATATTGAGGAAGTACATCCTATGGGCATCTATGGGATGCTGGACAGAGGTACTTTGCACAACCCCAAACCTCCACCCCTTTAATGGGCACCGCCAGGACATCCCCCTCCCCTCTGGTGATGCCTCAGGCGGTATATAGTGTAGGGACACCCCTGCTTACAGTTGCCGTCTGCTGGCTGAAAAATATGAAATATTTACAGCATATGCAACATTTTTATATTAACCTTACCAAAAAATGTTAAAGTTCTTTTTTGCTTTTTATCCCTATGCATAGCACATAAAGATAATATATGATTAAAAAAACACAATTCATTGCCTTTCATGTACATGGTATGAACATATTCATGTGTTCCTTTGCAGATGGAGCAGACCTGTGAAGAAATCGATGAAATGTTTAGCAATCTGCTGGGCGAGATGGACCTCCTAACACAGGTGAGCCATATTATTGCAAAAAGCCACACAACGTGAAAACAGCCATTGAAAAAGAAAATCCCTCATTTATTTTTCCTGCACATTAGCCGCTCCGCAAAACTTTCCAGACTACATAAATATTGACAAAGTGGAGGAATTTCAAAGGGAAAAAAATTGTCTGCCTCCTCTCCAGATTGTAAGAGGAACAGTCGAAGTGACATCATGACAGCTGACTGTAAGGAACAGCTGTATCTCTGCGCCGCCAAAAAAAGAAAAATGTCTCATGCCTGTCCAAAATATTTCAAGGCCTAATTCAAAAAAATTTCAACACGTGCTGTTGCTTTTGTGAACAAGTGAAAGATTTGAAAACTAATTTTATTCTTGTTGCAAGAACTTGCTTGTTTGAAAACCCCCTGATTTCAACACATGCTTAATAAAGCAGATGTGAGGAGGAAAGGCCTGCAAAGGTCACAGGTGGCTTCCATGAGGTGAACTGAGGTAGCGCGCATTGAGCGGGACTTTTAATTATGTACCCACCTAGGCCATAATCAGCTGTCCTCTGTGGCCATTGACTTCAGAGCATCACAGTTACATACCTTGTAGAATAAAAGAGTGAGAGTGCTACAATCAGATAATTCGTCCTGTACAGATTTATTAATCTCAATAAAGGGTCAAAAAACAGCATCTAGCACATTTCAGGGGATCACAGCTTCCCTTTCCTGGTGACATTTTAGGACGTTATTTTTTTACGTCCCATCCAGGGCCCATTCAGACGTTTTCATTGCATGACAGTGTGTTGTGGTAAGCTAACAGATTCATATTGAGTGGGCTGCCAAAGTACCACAATGCAGGTCTATATAGTAGACATGTGCGATTCGTTTCGTTCCGAATCAAAATTTGTACGAATTTTCTGACATTCGGACACATGCGAATTTCCGAATCCCAATGCGCCGAATCCGAATTTCCATTTCCGAATTTCGGATCACGCCCGAATTTCGTTCAAAAACTAAATTGAATCGGACATGTGACTTTTCTGGCCAATCAGATGTGTTTTTCTGTTTGATGCACCAGAATGGGTCGGTATCCGAATTTTCGAATGCCATTCGGGTCTGGGAGCTTCAGCTTTAGTATTAATATCTGTATATGGTTTTCTGTGGTATTCGCAACGAATATTCTTAAACTCATCCAAAACTAACGAAAATTCAGATTTCATCCAAATCCGAAACCCAAACCAAATTGAATTTCGGATGCGAATCCCGAATTCCGAAATGACGAAATAACCGAACCAAATTTTTCCACAGCTTACATGTCTACTAAATAATCCTGCAGCATTTCTTGCAATGCAGCGTGCCACAATGTACAGATGGTTTACATACGTGCACTATGGTACACTAAAACACACATATATTGTGGAGTGCTGGAAGGGGATGTTGGATGTTGGGGTGCTGTCACATACCTTAGGGGAGCCTGAGATAACAAGGACAGCCTCTTTTGCTGCTCCAGTCCAAGCACCCCCGGAGAGCAGAACAGGTGCACAGGGACAATGAGCTGCACGGGTGGCCACCCTGGTAAACATTATGTGGCCCCTCAAAGATTAATTCCACTCAATTTGAAAATTTGACCCACTGTTTCATTATCGGTGGAGCCTGGGCAGAGTGACAGGTTCCGTCTAAGGTATATCTGTGAGCATAGGGGTAGTGATTTACTGTAGATATGGCTTCTATGATCAGGGGCACTATTGCAAAAACTATTGCATTCTGGTAACTGTATGTGCCCAAGGAATGCAATGATGGCATTCACTATATCAATTCTTTATTTTATCTCACATTCCTTTATTTTTTTATCCACATTGACATGCAGACCATTTGGCAAGCCAAAATGACAAGTGGGACGAACTATGACTATCAGGAGGAATGAGCAGTTCCAGCAACATTTTTTTAGAAAAAAAAATTCAAGTGTATTTCCATCTTTGCAGTCAAATATGAGAAACCCTGACTATATGTTTGTTCTGTGCTCACACATACCTACAAATATATATATATATTTTAAAGATCTTACCTTTGTGATTGTTTCTTTGGAGCAGGTTTATACATATGACTTTATAGGCAGCTTCTATTACTTAGAACAGATAGCAATCTGGAGATGAGGGACAAAGGGAGGGACAAATGAGAGACAGTGCAGTATAAAGCATAGTGGGGGGGCGTATTGTGGAACCTGGCCTTGGGGCGGCAGGGGGAGTAAATCCGGCCCTGGATGCAGCACAACAGCGGGTGGCCCTTAATGCGAGGCAGCCTTATATATATGTGTAGCCCCTACCACCTTAAATGGAGTGGCTACTAAAATCTAGTGTTGCCAGCACTGTAATCAGTCTAGCTGATTTGTAGTTGGACATTATCTGGTTAATTTCGGGTGTTCTGCTATTGATTGCACCTACCTGAGTGGGGTGTGACCCTGCTACAGAGAGGGGTAGCTAATAGGGGAACATGCTGGGGGAGTGCATAAATACTCAGTGATTGCCATACGCTTAGGGCAGTCCATGCCCCGGGCTTGGCCTGGGGGGTGGCATGTACAAGGATGACTCGACCTACAGACCAGAGAGAGGGCAGTCAGAACTGTCTGCTGAAAGGCTGAGCCAGTTTTCAATTAGGCAATTGGGGTGAATCCCCTCAACAATTTCAGGACAGTTCCCAGCCGCGCCACAGCTCTGTCTCAACGGCAAACAACAGGCATTTGCCTGCTATCAACTGACTTTGGGTCACAGGAGTGCATTAGCAAATGACCCAAAAGAGAACTAAAGCCCCAAAAAAAGGACTGGCTGTACTTCTTATTTAAGTGGTATGAATGGTAACCATCATAAGCACCCCAGGCTTATAGTATAGTTTGACCAAACCCCTGTGACTGTCTCTTTTGCTAAACATGCTGGTTTCCAAAAATACAGACATGGAATAAAAAGGGAATTCATACTAACTAGCATGATTATATGTATTATTGGCAGTAGTGTTCGAATAGCAGTTGTGGGATATCTATGAGTATGTAGACTGTAGCTGGGGTAATAGAATCCTTAACTAACAAAAGAAAAGTGAGCGGTGGGAACCACTGACCTGAAATCAGAGTGACCATCTGGGAAGTACCTCACCCAACCTTTCTTGTCATTTTTCACTGTCACTGCTTTATTGGCAGGTTTTTACCTTGCTTTAGAGTGGCCCCCCCTGTGGGGCTTGGTTAGTCGGATACCTATCTAGAACTGGTGGTTAGGACGGGCATTAGCCTATGTATGCTAATTGGATGCTCACAACACAGATGTTACATTGTAATGGATTTCTAGTTTAGACTTTGTTGTATTTCTGTAATTCCAATAAAGCTGTGACCTTGCCCTTTCCAACATTATATTGTCTTTGCATTTATTTGGGGAAGGGCCTGTTTTGGCAAATATGATGTGTGTTGATCTGTGTGCCTATGTTTCTTCGCAGTCATGTTCCTGAATCTTAACATAAAAGGTTGGATCAGGCAAACATTCCCTAGTGTCTGTTCAGATGATCACTTTGAATGCTTGGAAGAATTTAGAATTGTAGCACTTTTTAATACTAATAATATCTTGTTTGATTGCAGAGCCTGGCTGTTGAAACCCCTCCACCCCCCACAACCACCATGGCCAGTACAGACAGCAACCTTTTATTTGGTTTTAAAGATTTTGGTAAGTATTGTCTACCAACTACGGTAACTCATGCTTGTAATTATGTAGTGAGCCCAATGAAATGGATCTAGTAATCACATAAGGTTTACATAGGATTATGTTCCTTGAGTAATAAAATGTAATGTATCTCCATGTCTTCATATAAATCCAGAGCCCTGATTGGCTCTTATAGGGCAAAGTATACAATATGACCTTTATGGACCATTGTACAGACACATGGTGATGGTACATTAGTGTGTTTTAGTATGGTGTCTACTAGGGATGTCCCGATACCGATACTAGCATCGGTATCGGGACCGATGCAAGGTATTTTCACAAGTACTTGTACTTGTGAAACTGCCCCGATGCATAACGAGGATGCTTGCGCATCAGTGTTGAATTCGTAGTGCCCGAAGCCCGGGCCATGTAGTTCCAGGCGCCAGGCAAGCAAGTGCAGGGGCGTGGAGCGGTGACGGCGGGGGCGTGGAGCGGTGACGGCAGGGGGCGTGGAGCGGTGATGACGGGGGGCGTGGATCGGTGAAAGAGCGGGGGTGGTGCGCTGAGAGCAGGGGGCGTGGAGCGGTGACAGAGCCGGACACATGGAGCTGTGACAGAGCCGGACACATGGAGCTGTGACAGGCTCTGTCACCTCCCTCAGCCTCTGTTCCCGGCCGCTGCTCTGTCTCTGCCGTACTAGACAGCCCTGCAGCACAGTTTAGCATATACCAGGACATACTGCTGTGTGGTCTGCAATCAACGTAGAGGTGTCTGGGGTCCATCATTCTCATAGCAATACATTAAGGCCCCATTCACACCAGATGCGTTGGCATCCATTTTTCAATGGATGCCAACTCAACGACATCTGAAAATGAATGGGTGTAAATGGGAGCAGTTCACACCAGTGCACTGCATTGTGTTGTGCTGCCCACCACTGAAAAAAAAGAGAGCAAGCTCTAAATTTTTCCTCGCAAAAAAACATAATGGACTGGTGTGAACTCGTAATGCAGGTACTTGTAGCCCTACCCATTCACTAAAGTGTTAAATAAAATTGTAAAAAAGAGGTCAGACTTTAAAAAAAATCCTTTATTTGAAAAACAAAAACAAAAAGACAAGTCTTTTATTTAAAAAACAAAACAAAAAAATGGATCATCAATGCAGCATCAAAAATGCAGCATCAATTACAACGTCCAGCGATGTCCACGACGATGACTCGATGAAATAAAACAATAAAAAATAAATAGAAATTTTGTTTTTTTTTAAATGACCGCCATCCCGTCCGTTTGCGATGTTCACCGCAGAAGGGCATTTTGACAGATGCCAGCAACTTATAAACATTTGGGCAGAGCTACCAGTGACAGCTAGCTCCGCCCAACTGTTTACAGTTGTAACAGGTGAGCCATGATTGGGCAGTCATCATGACTTTGCCCAATCTTGGCTCTTACAGAGTACTGGGCCCTGATTGGGCAAAGTCTTGCACCTGACCTGCGGTCAGCTGCAAGGCTTTAGCCAATTAGGGCTCACAAGGCACAGTGCCTTGATGGGTGTTTGGCGGACGAATAGCCCGCCAAACACCCTGACAGTTCGTGTGTTTGCCAAACACACGAACTGCCGATATTCGAGTCGAACTCACGTTCGTCTCGAACATCAAGCCCATCACTATTCATGAGCAACTTTTCCAGTAAGCTTTAGTGCATGGATTGGTACTCAGGCACCCCTAGGCACTTATGCATTAGATTATGGATGTTAGGCTAGAAAAAGACACTACAATATCAGTGCTTAAAACACAGAATAGTCACAGGCCGGCCAGGAGTAGGCAGCAAGAAGGGGTGAATCTAAACATAATTGAGCCAGTGGTCAACTGACATAACATTCCTCCATACTAAAAGCCCAAGGAACTGTTCGTCAAATCCAGACATTGAGCAGAATCTGAGTTGAGCAAGGTCAGTGAGCACCCCAAGGGAACACAAAAGTGTCGCAACCACAAGGCAAAAAAAATACTACTATGGGCAACCAAAGGCTAGAGTCTGGTGCCTATTACAAGTCATGCAGCCAAGGGGAGCACTCCACTGTAGCGTCCTTCTCTCTTTGTAAAACATTAACCTCTGCATTATAATGTCTTTGGGAAACCACAAAACAGTCATACAATATTGTCTAGATTTTCATGGATTCTGTGTACTTCTGTGCAGAGTCAATAAACGCTCTAGAAGACAATGATCTGGATGCATTAATGGCCGAACTTCTGGCAGACTGCAAAGATGCTGAAATGAAAGTGAACAACCAGAGCTACAACAGCACAGCTTCCGTCTCCAATATTGACACGTTTGCATACAATATTCCTGATTTTACACATGATCTGCCCACTGGTTCCACAGATGATATGTCCTACCTACCGCCACCGCCCGCTAGTGAATGGGACATGGATCTCCCACCTCCACCACCTGATCCTGAGGTGCCAACAGCAAAGGTACTGAACAGTCCACAGTCTTTCTATAGTAAAAATACCCTTTCTAGTCAGTCAGGAGTCATACCTTTGCAAAGCAAACATTTTATTTGGGACTGTTTGGGAGAAACATTAAGTTCTGAGGTTAGGTGTTAAAGTAAACCAGTCATTACAAGACGTGTACATAAAAAACTTCACGGCCACACAGGGGAGGCACCATGAAGTGATAGTACATACCCTTCAGTACAGTCTTCCTGAGCACACTAGATGTCCTATGTCACCTTCCTGTGTCAGCACAGATAGATCTGCAACTGGCAATAAAGAAGGGAACACCTAATACTTGTACCCTTATATTATATATGACCTTTGGAGATTTTATCTGGAATGGAACTCATCCTCAACTTGTAAAAAGTTGACCGCCCACCCCCAACTGGGAGCTAATTTGGCCATACACTAATAGATGTTTTGCTAAACAGCATGAATGGATGAATCTGTTGCTGCGGCTATCATATTTTGACAGCCAGCACCCACCAGCTGCTGATTGGCTGCAGTCACTATCAGTGAGTAATCGACTTTTGTCAAGCCAGCGGAACCATCCAATTTAAGAATATATAGTCGATTCCTATGAATCCTAACAGTGTCTGGCCAGTCCTAGGCATGCAGTCTAGCCCAGATAGAAGCTAAGACTTACCTCCCTGTTTGTAATGTTTATACCTCCTCTAGTGTGTGCATGAAGGGAACTATCAGAAATATGGTGTGTATACCACATAAACCTAGGTAATATGAATCATCAATATTAAAAGGGATTTCATAAGTAATATTATATGCATCGTGTGTATTATAAATGACTTGGTCTACTTTTGGCTTATTTTGTTATTTTGCATAATTGCTTAAAATGTGTCTCAAAAAAAGAGAACTGAAACATTATTTATAGCAAACTCCATTCAGGAGGTTTTCATCTTAGTAACTGAAATTGTCTCTGCTTGATGATACCAAAAGGCAGCATACAAAGTTTACTTGTCATTTTATATAATCATTTTTCAAACTGAGGTGCTCGCTGCTCGACTTTTAACCAAGTGTCCCCAGATTGGGGAGTCTGAATGGGGTTCGGCTCATTATTCACTTCATTGTTCATCAGGATTGTGTCTCTTGATACAAATGATTTTGGGCTGATCCCAGTTGCTTCTGTTGAAGGGCACTCAAAGTGTGGACTGTGGTGGAGTGACACCGCCCTCTGAAGGCTCTGCCAGCCTCACTTGGCATCCTGCCCAGCTCCTGGCAACCAGTGATGTCGCTGGTTGCCAGGAGCTGGGCAGGACGCCGGTCAGAGTGTCTCAGGTTGCTAAGAGCTGAGTGCAGAGATATGTATGGCCCTTACACATCTCCCCGCCCAGCTCTTAGCAACCTGGGATGCCCTGGCCAGAAAGGGGGCGGCAGGCACACAGATCGACCATGCCCCTCTGCCTGATGCCCCTCCCCCCCCCCACTGGACCCAAAGAGATGCCACCTGAGGCAACAGTCTGATGCTTCCTTGTTCCAGTTATTTTTATAAATTAACTTTTGCAGTGGAGCTACCGCCACTCTGCAAGCGAGCTACCACCGTTACCTGCTCATATTGGTCTAGGGTCTGGCATTCAGACGTTATACGCACTGATCCTCGGCCCTGCAGCGGTAAACACTCACCTCTCTCCCCCTCTCCCCGCTCTGGTGGTGGAATGTCCCTCAGTATCCTCACATCTAATGCAGCTGCATTAGACGTGATGATTGTTGGTTATGTGTTTGGATGAAGCACTGAGATCTTGAGGAATGCTGTATTAAGTTTTACTTGCTTAGAAGAATGTTATATGAGAATACAGCATTATACAGCATACAGAGAGAACTTCCTGTATATCATACATAAACATGCTTAAGCACAGAGATTAACATTGCACTAAAGCGTCATCTAGTGCTCAAAAGGCATAATTAAACAAGTAATACACTCATATATTTGCTGTTGCATTTCCAACAATGACGTCACGGTTTCTGGAGCCCGAGGTGAAGAGGCCGCAGGGACCAGTCTAGCAGCCAAGCGGGGTTGAGGATCAGGTAAGTATATTTTTTTTTGTTTGAGCCCCTAGACCAAAACGAGCACTTAAACCTTGAAGTGCAGGGGTAGCTCCACTGCAAGGGTTAATATTTTAAATTCCTGGAGTTCCACTTTAAGCATTACTTCTCAAAACTTGCTTGAATAAGTATGCCAAATAAAAAAACAAATACAGGTGAAACTCGAATAATTAGAATATCGTGCAAAAGTAATTGCAGTAAGTGCTGCAAAAGGGGCCCAAACCAAGTACTGAGTACATATGCATGCTTGTACTTTTCAGAGGTCCGATATTGTTCTATGTACAATCCTTGTTTTATTGATTGCATGTAATAATCTACTTTTTTGAGGTTGTGGATTTGGGGTTCTTGGGGTTTTCATGAGCTGTAAGCCATACTCATCACAATAATGACAAATCACGGCTTGAATTATCTTGCTTTGCATGTAATGAGTCTATCTCATATATTAGTTTCACCTTTTAAGTTGCATTAGTGAAATAAATGAACTTTGCACGATATTCTAATTATTCGAGTTTCACCTGTATTACAAATTATTATGACAGTTGTGCACTTTATATGTTTCCCATAGTGTTGGAAATATATCTTTTAAAAATAGATACACTGTAGATACTTTACATGGTAATCTAAATGGTGAAATATTATTATAAGCATCATAAGTATTAAAAATAAAAAAAAATTCTGCCCCGGGCGCCCAGAACTCTGGTTACGCCACTGAAAATGACTATGGGGGTTGTTCACAAAAGAACTGAATGATCCAGCCATAGCTTCGGCTTGCAAACGACAGCTGGGCGGAGCCAGCCGTGATCTCACAGGTGGCTCCTCCCAGTTGTAATGACAGATCAGTGGGGATGTTGATCTGCCATTAAACAATAACAACTGGGCGGAGCTGGCGGTGGCGTCACGGCCGGCTCCGCCCAGTTGTTATTCATTGGCCGGGACCTGCTAGATGACTCTAGCAGGTCTTGGCCAATAGAAAAAAGTTGGGCTGAGCTAGCTGTCACTGCTAGCTCCGCCAATAGTTTTTTTTCTAATTTAAAAAAATCTTTATTTTTTTTTAAAATTTACTATCGATTTACATTTGTAAAAAAAAATGTAACCTTTTTTTTTCTTGTACTATTTTCTATTCTGCTCGGTACCACAGAGGTGCCGAGCCCAATGACGCTCGACGGCATTCAGCTATTCACTCATTGCTGTTTGGGCTCTATGTGAATAGAGGTGAACGACAGAGAGTGAGCTGCCGTAGCTTCGGCTCAGCCGATCCAGAAGTTGGATTAGCTGAGTCAAAGTCCTTTTGCACTTCGGCTCAGCCGAACATGCAAAGCATATTCGGCTGACCGAAGGCAGCCGATGTTTGGCTGATTTCAGCCGATGTACGGCTGAAATCAGCCGTACTCAGCCAAAGTGAATAGCCGAACGTTGTTCAGCTCACTTCACTTCGGCTCGGTTATTCACTAGGCTGCCTCCGGCAGCTTAGTGAATGGCCCTGTTGGTCAACATTCAGATTATTTTGCTTTTTTTGCATGATTGCTTAACAGGTCTCTCAAAGATAGAACTGAAACTTTAATTGTAGCAAACTTTATTTAGGAAGTTTATAGTTTGCTTTCTTTGCTTCAAATAATATGATATGCTGAGCATACAACGTTTACTTGTGTTTACCCCTTGGTTTTTAACAGCCACCAAATGCCTCCTAATTGAAAAGAGTCTAAACTGGGTTTGCCTTATTATTCACTCAAATGTTTGCCAGGATTGTATCACTCGATTCAAAGGTTTTTTGCACTGACCCCTCTTGCCAATGACGGAGGGCATACAAAGCATGGACTAAATGATGCTTAAATAACATATACGGCCCGTTTAAATTTGGCCTATAGTGTCAGCAGTGGACAGGGAATGTGTTGGGGAACTAACAGAGAAAAATCATTTGCAAAGGCTTTTTCGAAATTAAAAATAGTGCAATTTGACATTATCATTGTTCCAATTGAAAATGGTGCAATGGGATTTTCTCCTTAGCTTAAGGTGTATTTTCCACTTTTGCAGACAAATTTGATGTTTGTTATCTCTATATGTTTGTTATGTATTCACATTTACATAGCATACCGAAAAATAATCTGAAACATAGTTCTTACCGCTTAGCCTTTTGGAGCTTCCCTGTACAATTTTAGAGTGACAGGAATCTCTGGCTGTTCCCACTGAATGACTAGGAACACTCTGAGCTTCCTCTCACTAACAGGCAATGCTTTTATATCCTTAACCATTTGTTAGGACAGACGATGTTCAAATGAGGTAATGAGACCTGCCAGCACAGTACAGACAGGGTTAATTATGGTAAACAACCTCCCCACTCCCTTGCTTTCTAAAGGAAATTTCAGTTTAGAAAAACATTTTACTTTCAGGAAAAAGCTAATGATATGTCAGCAGCAATTTGTAAAGTGATGCTGTGTGAATAAGAACATGTAACAAATATAAAGTAGGTGTTATCCCAATTTGGCTTCAAAAGTGGAAAAACTATTTAAAAACTATACCCACCTGCCCTGCTATATCATGCCGGGGCTGTGCTGTTGTGTGTTCAGCAGTCATTAGGCAGCACAATGCCGAACGACCAGACTGATTTTGACAGGTACAGAAGGTACAGGTGCAGTAAAGGTAAAGGTTTTACTACATATTCTGTATGTTTTCACATACCTACACAGGCCGATTGCTATTATTAACATTGGAGAGTCACTTTAAGCCTCTTTGCTTTGGTTTTAAATCTAATGAACTAAATTACTAACACATTTAAAAAAATGTCTGTTTCCAATCACTCTCTTGTAGGCTAATTTAGAGTCAAAAGACAAAGTGGACCAAATCATGCTTGCTTTGGACAAAATGAAGGAAGCCAAAGTTAAAAAGGTGAGAGATGAAAATGCTTATAGAGATACCGGTATTAAGTTTGAATAATTACTTCAGACCAATAAACATCCAAAATACAGAATTTAGCTGCTTTAGTTCATTTGACATGTACAGTGGCAATAGGACAGTTTCCTAGTCAGATGTACTGCAGCCAGTTAACCTGGATGCTAGTGGAGGACGTGATTCCGAAATACAAATTGATTTATGAAGCCAGAGCTTGCCCAAAGAAATTAAATAGTGTGGGTTTGCTTCTTAATGCATTACCATGGAGCATGTTTTTTTGCTCTTGTGGGTAGGGGATTGGTAGTGCTTGTGTTTGGAATGTGTGATGTTCTTGTTTGTTTTTTCCTTGTTATCGCAAATTGCATGTTGCATTTTTGGGGTCTGTTGCACATCCTTGTGTATTCTTTACTTGCTTGTTATTAAAAAATGTTTAATAAATAAACACCTTAGAAAAAAAAGGCCATTGCAGATTTCCAGTTAAAGGAGAACTATGAGGTGAGTGCTTTTCACGGCGGCCTCGGTGACGAAGAAGGAGGCGGGCTTGGCGACGGAGTAGGTAATGAGTGTGACTAGCCCACCTGAGGGTGACCCTGCAGAGCCCACCATAGATAGTCTATGGTGGGCTCTGCAGGGTCACCCTCAGGTGGGATTTCGAGTGGCCTCTGCAAGGGGTATAAGTAGAAATCACATGGCCCCATACAAAATTTTGGTATGGGGCCCTGTGATTTCTAGTTACGCCCCTGATTGAATCATTATAGAATGTGAACCTGTCACCTAAACCTAAGATATAAACTCACTGGCCACTTTATCAGGTACACCTTGCTAGTACTGGGTTGGACCCCTTTTGTCTTCAGAACTGCTTTAATTCTTCGTAGCATTGATTCAACAAGGTGATGGAAACATTTCTGAGAGAGTTTGGTCCATACTGACATGATAGCATCAGACAGTTGCTGCAGATTTGTCGGCTGCACATCCATGATGCAAAGCTCCACCAGCCTGAACTGTTGATACAATGCAGGATGGATCCATGCTTTCATGTTGTTTACATCAAATTCTGACCCAACCACCTGAATGTTACAACAGAAATCGAGACTCATCATACCAGGCAACGTTTTTCCAATCTTCTATTTTACAATTTTGGTGAGCACTTGCAAACTGTAGCCTCAGTTTCCTGTTCTTAGCTGACAGAAGTGGCACCCGGTGTGGTCTTCTGTGGCTGTAGCCAATCTGCTCCAAGGTTCAATGTGTTGTGCGTTCAGAGATGGTATTCTGCATACCTCGGATGTAATGAGTGGTTATTTCAGTTACTGTTGCCTTTCTATCATCTCAAACCAGTCTGCCCATTCTCCTCTGACCTCTGCCATCAACAAGGTATTCTTGCCCAGAGAGCTGCCGCTGACTGGATAATTTTTATTTTTCAGACCATTCCCTGTAAACCTTAGAGATGGTTGTGTTTCAAAAATCCCAGTAGATCAGCAGTCTCTGAAATACTCAAACCAGCCCGTCTGGCACCAACAACCATGCCACGTTCAAAGTCACTTAAATCACCTTTCTTCTCCATTCTGATGCTCGGTTTGAACTTCAGCAGACCATCTTGACCATGTTTACATGCCTAAATGTATTGAGTTACTGCCATGTGATTGGCTGATTAGATATTTGTGTTAACGAGCAGTTGAAGAGGTGTACCTAATAAAGCGGCCAGTGGGTGTATATAAATATGTGTGTGAGTGTGTGTGTGTTTTTTTAAAGAAAATCAAAGCCTGAGTTTCATGAAGTTTTAGTTTGTATGTATTGACCCTTTAAGTGACACATCATTTCCTTTTATAGACTGATATGGTTGTGCAACAGCATAAACATATAAAATATAAATATATAAACAAAATGAACAGGAAAGTAAAATGGACTTAACGTAACGTATCATTTCTTTGGCCGACAGCTAATTGTTAAGATACACATGACTGATAACAGCACAAAGACCTTGATGGTGGACGAGCGTCAAACAGTCCGTGATATCCTGGACAACCTATTTGAGAAAACCCACTGTGACTGCACCATCGAGTGGTGTCTGTATGAAGAAAGCCCAGAGCTGCAGATTGGTAAGCGTGGAAGTAGTCAGGGACGCTATAAGACTTTACTGAAATATCCTGATCTAAAAATCCAGGCATCCTTTGACTAAAGCTGAACTTCAGGTAAACAATAAAAAAACATTATTCAATCCAATTATCTAATAATGACACGCACTCATTTATTTATTGTACAACCCCAATTCCCAAAAATCTGCGACGCAGTGTAAAATTTACATAAAAACAGAATGCAATGATTTGCAAATCTGATGAACCCATATTTTATTCACAATAGAATTTTCAATAGAAAATAGAAAACATATCCAATGTTTAAACTGAGAAAATGTTAAATTTTAAGAAAAAAATAAGGTCATTTTGGAATGGATGGCAGCAACACTTTTGCAGCCAAATTGAGAAACCTCACTCTGTGTGTCTTATGTCCCATTCACACAGCGTATCTAGCAATAATTTTTATGACGTTCAACCGGCGGGATGAGGTATGCCGCCGGGTCCCTTCCTCTCTCCTGACACTGTCGGGCTCTCGGTCCGTGACCGAGTGCCCGACTTTTCATAGGGGGTGGCACCAAAATGACTGTCAGTCATTTTGGTATCACCCCTCCAATGGTGGCACCTGGGTACGGGCCGCACCCACCGCACCCCCCTTGTGTCGCCACTGGCTCCTCTCTCAATTTCAGTAACAGGAAACTCTGTCTGTCCTAATAGCAAGACATAGGACATACCAAGCTCTTCCTCATTAGCATACAATGGCTTCAGGTCTGTAACTCTTTGTTAGGACAGACGGTCCTGCTCATCTAGTTTACAAGTGATAATGAAATCTGCCAGCATAGCTCAGACAGGGTTAATTATTTAAAACAAAACTCCTCCCAACCCCTCAGACAGTGGGAACTAAGCAGGATTTTCAGTCCTGGCGTTAGCACAATGAACATCTAAAAAACATTCAAGCTGCATTTGTGAATGTGAATGGGAATGTGTAACAAATATAAATTAGATGTTATCTTAATTTGGCTGCAAAAGTGCAAATACACTTTAAAAGAGGACTTTTTCTTAGAAACAGGCTGCCATTGCTAGTCCTTCCTTCTTAAAAGTCAGGCTACCATGAGGTATGCAATAAATATGCTATAAGTATTTTAAAAAAAAAGTCAGGAGTTCTCTTTAACTTGGTGGGCTTGAATGCCAAGCTGCCACATATGTATCCAGCTGGCCATGCTGTTCTGTGTTCAGAGCAGTTACACTCTATCACACAGAGACTGAGCTCACAGTCACTACTTACAATCAGTACCCACTGCGATGGGCTCCCGATAATCAGACCACTATGGCAGCCAATCACAGTGATCACATCATCAAGAAGTTCCCCCGTAACTCATGGTGTTCAGAACATTTTAAAGGGCTGGTGGGAGCTGGCCAGAGCTGGCAGCAAGGGGGTAAAAAAATTGGGCATAGGCAAACACCATTTTCCAAAGCAGGTTAGCAATGCCCCCACACTTATAATAATGAATGTGCTGCACTTTATCTAGAACAATAAATAAATAAACAAATATCTATAATAAATATGTGCTAAACAATACATGCAATCAAAGTGTTCACAATTGCTCTTCTTGTAAATATCAATCCTAAATAATATCCCTCTGGAAAGTTTAATCATGTGAACACTTTGATTGCATGTATTGTTCAGCACATAGTATTTATTATAGAGATTTGTTTATTTATTTATTGTTCTAGATAAAGCGCAGCACATTCATTATTATAATTTGATACATTCAGCGAGTAACACTTCTTATAGTGCTTGCAGCTACACAGGGTTTGGCGCAAGGTGCTATTTGTCAAATTCCCTCATACTTACTCAGTACAGGTTTCCTTTAATGCCTTTTTATTGGTCAAATCTGTGTTAAAAAGCAAAAACTGGTCTGATAGCTAAAGGAAACAATACAAGTTCTGCTTTTAGTAACCTTTTTCTAACCCAAATGAGTTCAATAATTGTAACTCAACCCCAACCCCCTTCCTGCCTTGATTTGGGTAAAGTTTGGAACTGATATGAATTATTATTCTTTTCTTCAGAGAGGTTCTTTGAAGACCATGAAAACATAGTGGAAATCTTATCCGTCTGGACGAGAGACAGTGAGAACAAAATCCGCTTCCTAAAGAAAAATGAAAAATATGCCGTTTTTAAGAACCCTCAGGTGAGTTTTCCTATGAAAGCCGCACTCTGCTCATTCTTTTCTCCTTCCTCCCCTCTCCAAGCTAGTAGATGGACAGCTGATAGAGACTGTGCTGTCCCCTGTGATCTAGTGGTGTACAGGAAGTTCAGTGAAGTTGACCTGAGAGAGTTAGAGCCAGCTGTTCAGAAACATGATGACTGTAAATGTTTGGCCAAAAATGTATAGAAATACTTTGGTGGGCAGTGTATATTTTTTTGATCTGGATTAATTATTGAAACTGTTTGGGAGTTTAACACTACTTTTATATGTACAATAACTTGTATTATCTTTAAAAAAAACAGCTTCCCTTGCTAACCACCTTATTGAGAATATGTTGACCATTCTCTTCCCCAAGTAGGGTAGGAAACAACGGTGGGGAAGGGGATTTATGAGGCACAATAATGCCCTTGAGGCTTGAATATCTGTACTGCAATAGCACCATTCCATTTAAGTCTATTGGATGTAAGTGTGCAGGCCATGATTTATTGTAGACAATGTAGAAGGACATTGCTGTCAGAGGAGGTAAGCATCTAGTGAGGGGGGAAACGGATGGTCAGCCTGAGTAGGGTATACATGGTTGGAATTTCAAACTAACTTGTTTTGAAGCTTGTTTACTGTTTGTTGATAATAGGTAAGTTGAATGTCCAAAGCCTAGTCACAGATTCACTTTAACTATTACCTCTCAAAACTTGTTGGTGGAATTTCCATTTTGGCCATTTTAGTGGTGAAAATATATATTTTTTAAAATAGATCACACTGTAGATACACTGCATGATCATCTAAATTATGAACAGATAATCTCCATTATGACCCTGCTATGTTCAGCTGACCTTATAACTCCTATGGTACAATAATGGCTATTCTGCTGTAATTCAGCCTGATATGTCTGATGCAGACTCACATTTCTTCAAGGTATATACTTTGCATATTAGAATCTCTCTCATTGCAAAGAAAGTAGGCCCAATAAATCATTTTGTTGCATTATCTCACTGGAGTTCAGTAATGCATAGAAAAATTTCAGGCAAAAAAAAATGGAAAAAGTCAGTGAGCAAGTACTTCAACTGTGCTAGAAATCAAATATTGCAGACCCCTGGATTGCAAAAGGAGCAATGGTCAAAGAACAGCATGTGGATGTCACTATTTAAATTGAAAGCTGTATGTGAGTAGCAACGTTTCTACTCAATCAGAAGGCAGTACTTTCTTCACCGAACATTAATGTGCTAACATTATTGGTCAAACACTCTTCCTCAAGTCGTTCTCCTTAGGAATCTGCTGCTGCTTAATCCATCAAGCTTCAAGCACAGTGACTAATGTGAATGATGGAGAACACATTACTGCCGTCAATGAAGTCCTTACAAAGACAGCATACATTGCATCTTGGGGCAGACATTAAAAGAGCCCAGGCAGGTTGTGGGCTGTCACTCTACATATAAAGGTTTACAGTGGTATTAAAGCGGGCCTTTACCTCCTTTCACTCAGTTCTGCATGATGATATGAAAATATCTTACATTCATTAGTTAAACAACCATATTTTTCTTTTACTTACAACTGTTGTTCTTCCACTTCCTGGTCCTCTTGGGCATTAGTGATGTAATGTGTCCAAGTGTTGCATCCTGGGAAGGTTACATCAGCAGAGCATTGCTGGGAAATCTCATCTGAGATCTCAGGGAAATGCATTTTCCTCTCCTGGGATGATGTGCATGGTCACGTGTCCTAGTCACATGTGCTAGAGTTCTGGGAAGTAAAGGGAGTAAATTAAACTGCCCTTAGTAAAAATGGCCACTATGATAAGAATGGGGAGGAAAAGAAAAACAAGGTATGCAAAGAACACAAAGCCGGTAATTATCTAGAAGTATGTGTTTGTAGATTGTCATTACTAAACATTTCTAAAGGTGTATTTGTTGTCATTTCAAAGATATGGGTAAAGTTTCTCTTTGGCATGGATTGGCATGGTGTCCTTAAGTTTTTGTTTTTATTCATAAGGTTGATTGGAGACATCTATATGGCAAATTTTCAGCTGCGTGAGATTTAATGTTCTCCGTAATTACCTGTAAAGAGCCTGTATGGGTGTACTTCTTGATGGCTGCACAGTATAACTTCCTCTATCTGCTTCCTGTATCACCAATCACATTCAAACTTCCAAGACAGAATTGATTGGATGAAAAGTTGGGAGAAACTTATAAGCATTGAGATGTTTTTAAAGTGAAAGTAAACTGCTAATAAAAAAATAAAAAAGTAATTGGTCCCCAGGAGCTGGGCCCCCAGGCCCCAGGATCTGCACCACCTATTAGCATATTATGTCAGACTTACATACCTAAGCAATCCACTCCAGTACTGCTTCCCTCAGTCACTGCCGCTGCCATCTTCTGACAGTCCTTTCTGGGTTCTGAGTATTTGGCTGCTTGATTGGATGGACTTTGATGATGTAACTTCCGCACATGTGCAGTTAAAGCAGCAGCAAAAATCCTGTGGCTCAGTGTGCTGTTGTAGAAAAAAAGTGCTGACAGGCAGGGAGAAACATCTATGACAGAGGACACTTACGCAGTCTCTTCTGCCATAAAAGCCTTGCCTGTCAGCACTTTTTGGAAATTAGACTTCCATTTTAATTTGGGCTTTGCATGGCAGAGATAGCAAGCAGTGGGTGTGTTTGGGACTCCCTCTCATGGATCCCTAGAAGGGGTTCTAAAGTCACCACATTAGCAACAACATTTGCTTTGGTGGACTGATAGAAAGGCTTGAAAGAAAGCAGTAAGCAGGTAGCCTGTGCTACTCATATGCATCTCAATGCTGCAGTACTTCCCATTGGTGTTGTAACCACAGACTCACCACTGCAGTCCTGATCCTCATTTAGGTTGTATGACACCCACTGTCATCCAAACCACTTCCTGTGAGTGCAGGCTGTCATGGATCTGCCATTTGGGAATGAGTCATGATGCTGGCCTGGGCTCACATTACTACTGCACAATACGACGTAGTAGGAGGTGTGAAGTAAGAGTTAAGACTGCCACCCCTTCAGAGAAAATGATGATGTTGTCGGACTGGTCAGAAGACAGCAGGATTTAGGCTATGAATAATAATATTAGAATACTAATAAGTATAAATACTAATTATACTAATAAAAAACACTATTAAAAAATAATATAATAGTATAATATCATAATAATATAATACAGATAATCATTTATGATTTAATAATGTACATAACATTATTACATAATAATGTAATGATTCAATTTAATAGATGGATTAGTTTAAAATAATAGATACCGGGGAAACCTCAGAGATTGGGGGGGCGGTGGGTGGGCACAAAAAACATTGGAGTTGGGCTTTGACTTTTAGTGTTGACTGAAGTATACTGTACATTGTGGCCAATGTAACAACAGAAGTAATTGTACATCACACATTGCCAAAACAGGAGATCCCGTTCATGTGAAAGCAGAGTTAATGAACTTCACATTTAGATGCCAGGGTAATGATATGCTAATTGTAACCCAATTATCCACTGTAGCATCTGTGTGCATATATTTGAATGCAATTCATTTATATAAAGATGTGACCTTTAACACAGAGATACATGGGGTTCTGTAAAAAAGAATATTGATCAGTACAATAACAGCCTTGTAATGAGCAAATGGGAAACATTACACTAATGGAAAAGTGGCCACCAACTGTGCAAAATCAGTGATACGATGGGGATACCTTGAACCTCACCAATTCTGCAATGTTTCTGATCAGCTGTTCAACACAGCTGTACAAATAAATTTGTTAGTCTAAAGATGGCCATACACCTTACAACCATCGACTTTCCCTGTGCGATGGTTGTAAGGTGATTAAAATTTAGTACGACCTCCCCATCTTGGACAGGCTGATCGTACTTGCGATCATCGCAAGTCCTCCCCGCTGAGGGGAGGGCTTACAGGTGATTGCAATGGTGAGCGGGCAGTGTGCGCTTGCGCACCTCGGCCCGTGCGGCTTTCATCTTGCGATCGCGCTGCCAACCCGGCAATCACCTGTAAGCCCTCCCCGCTGAGTGCAGTAAATGCAAACGCACGCTGCCCATACACCTTACAATTATCGTACGATCGCGGGATCACCCGCGATTATCATACGATAATTGTCAGGTGTATGGGCAGCTTTAGAAAGACAAGCGCAGGCATAGATTTGCTGGGACGGTTCTGCATGTTGGCCTCCTGTCCTGCCAATGCTGTGTCCTGGGTTATGTCCCAGGATCACAGCATCGTCCTGCACATGAGCAGTAATTTAAAAAGGCAAGTGCGGATTTAAGGAGCCACGGTGCCTGGGAGGCTGCAGCCGGTTCAGTGCAGTGTGTGCAGCATTAACCCAGGTACTCTGCAGCATGTCTACCTGGAACTTTCGGTGTCCTTGTCCCATGATTATTAAAAACGTCTATCATTTACTGCGCAATGGCTTGCTGTTCCTGCCTAATAGCATTACATCCTCTCCGTGGGAAGGTTTGCATAGTGACACTGTAATAATTGAGATCATTGTACTACACTAGACTGATGGGTATAGAAAAATAATATAGTCCAGACTCTATCACAGCATGTTGTATTGTAGCAGGTATTTTTTAAATTATAAGTTATAGATTTAAAGGGGATAGGGATATTTTGCATCAATATACTGCATTAGGCTGATCCATTCATATAATAATAATATAGTCTAGCCTCTTTTTAATTGTTCACAGTTAAAGCAAATATTTTTGCAGTACTACATTAGG